TTTATTTAAATATATTAAAATTTAAAAAAAGTAGATCATAACAATATTTATGATAATTTTCTAGGCAAATTTGTCTGAAAGAGCCTACAGTTTAAGGGATAATAAAATTTACAAATGTTCTAGAGTTTTTCGTTCGAATTAGAGAGAATTTAATAGTATTTAAATTAGAGAGGTTCGGATTAGAAAGAGTCGACTGTAAAATAGTAACCATTTCTACTGTTTTTACCATTCTTATCATTTTTACCGTTTTTACCATTTTTACCATTTTTATCATTTCTACCATTTCTACCATTTCTTATTATTTCTATTAGTTTTAGATAGTTTAGAAAAAGATATATAAATCCTAGCTTTTCTATCTTCCTGCCAGTTAGTTCAAATCATTTTTAGATAGACTCAAGTAGATACAGAAATCCTCTTTAGTTATAGAATTCTTTCTTGTAATTAAAGTCTTATATTCTATAAATAAAATATATCTTTCTTTAACTATATACTTTCCACAAACTGCCCTTAGTGAAGTAATATTTTACTTCCACACCGCTATAATCTCGCAACAGAGCTCTATAGCTGTGTGCTTTGTTACTTGTACTATATTAAGAAGACTATAGTTCACTTGTAACACAATAATTGAATAAAAAAAGCTAATTTAAAAATTATCTTAATAGAAGTGTAGCAATATAACAGAGTAGTTAAATTGTTACCTTTAAGCAACAAATTAAGAATTCAAATTCTACTAGTAATAAAAATATAAAAATTCTGTTTTATTATAGCTAAACTATATTTGGTCAATTAGTTAGAATAGAATATTTGTATCTATAATCACATTAGCAAAACTAAGGTCTAAAGCATTTATATAACAAAATATTATATAAAGAGATGCAAATTAGTAATAAGCAGCGCAAACACAAAATAAACTTTTAGACTATGTAAATTCAGAAAGCTGCAAATATAGAAACCTTCTTGACAAGACCTAAATAGAGAGATAGTACAAATCTTTGATGAAGCTGCTATAAAGTTAAACCTAGAAAACAGAATCTAGACAAACTAATTCAAATATAAGATAAAGTATTAAGAAGCATCTATACCAATCAGATTGCTACAAATAGACTAGGACTAATTAATTTAGCTGAAGAGCCCTTAGGAGTGGCAATGCAAAATCTACTAGGCTGTGATATTAGATAGATATTTGTCTAGACACAGAGGAAAATGCAGGATAACTAGGCTATCTAGCTTGGTAATCCAATAGAATAAATAGATAAAATTATTAGTACCAACTAGACTATTAATAAATTTGGAAGAAACTAAGTATACAAACTAAACTATCTGAATTAGAAGTTTAGAAAAAGAAAGCAAAAATTACTAAAATACTGAAGATATACCATGAAATAAGTTTTAAGGTTTGAATAAACTTTATAAAAGCAGTAGTAGATTAGATAGTAGAGTTCGAGCCAAACTGATGTTTAAAAGGGATGGAAGCAGAAAAAAGTTTAAATTAGAAGAATAAAACTGTAGATAAAATTCTCAACCCAATATTACAATACTCTTAGGTAAAACTTGAGCTGCAAGTGATAGGCTATAGTCCATGTATACTAATTAAAGTGCAGATTATAAATTATATAGTAAAAGTAGAAATATTGTGAGTTCTGTCAAGTTTTCTTTAAAAATAAAAAACTAGAAGTAGGTTAATAAGGAGATGGTAGTCCACTTTAAAGTTCTAAGTCATCATGTAAATGTGAGCCTAGATAACTAGTCATAGACTAGAACAAAAAAAACCGATTACTATAGATCTTAGCATATATAAGCACAGTTGGTTTAATTGGGTAACCCAAATAATAAATAGGTTATAAATATAACATCTAGTGTAAAATCTAGTAATAGGCAGACTACTTAAATTAGGCGCTCAAAAAGCGCAGATATGACTAGAATATACTCTTCAAATATGTACAATAACTTCTAAAGGTAATAAAGAACACATGACCAAAAGGTCACCTTAACATCGAAAAAAATAAAAAAAAATTCTGATAGTTAAAATTAGTAAAATTAATTAAATAGATAATAAGTTACAGTATAAGCAATTTAAGATTAAAATTTTTACAATACAATAGGAATCATGATTTCAACTTAACATTTTTTACTATGTTTTATTTTCCTATTTATTCGCGTATTATCAATTAAGGATTTAAAAATAAGCTACAAAATTTTTGTATAATTTTTTTGTCAAAAATGATAGCTTATTTTCAAAAACATGATATTATTTTACTATACTTATTTTTGTTTTCTGGTTGTAAAACATGTTTTTAACTAACACAGCACTTATTTTTTTTTTAGATTAGTTTTTTATTTGTTTACTTTGCCTAAAGCTAGACTTTTGACTTCAGATAGTTTTATTAGTTGTGTTTGTTGCTTTTGTTTTACTAATTGTGAGGCATGTTTAAATAAAGCTTTTTTTTGGTAGTTTTTATTTTTCTAATGCCTATTTCTTTTTTCTAGATTGCTTTTGGTTGTCTATAATTAGCGATTCGATTAATATTTGACCAACTATAATAAGCTATTGATCAGTCACAAGAAAGTAATGCAATATATAATACCGATGCTCAACGTAAAAGATAAATAATTTGCTATGTAGTCTTAAATTTTTTTACAGTATCCATTTAATAATTAATTTTCGGATTGTATATATTTACATAATTAGTTCATACATACGTAATCAAAACACATTTTAGTAGAGGGGGTTTTTATGTTAATTTTAATATGTAACGGTAATCACTTTTCGGTTATATACGGTATCAAAAAAAAAAAGTTTTTTAGGGGGGTCAACGTACAGTGTAATACAATTTTCAAACAAACACACTCATTGATTTAGATGAAGTCTAGGCCTTTTCTCTTTTGCTTTCTTGCCTCGGCGAGATGACACGAATTCACATATTGATTTGGTATAATTTATACGTAGTAGTGACTCTATGACTAACGCTAATGATATTAAAGAAGGATCGACACTATTGGACATGATCTATTAATGTTAATTGACTATGAAATCTTTATGATTTATAAATACTGTATGGTAATTTATGAATTATATATAATTTATGTATTATGAATCGTTCAATTATTAATCTTTAACAATTTAAACGCTTACTAAGAATCATGTGCGACTGGTTTTATTGGGGAATTTGCAGATATTTGGTCTGATATTTATTTATTGCGACGGTTATTAATAACGATGCCTAGCATACAATCACGTGACACATCCCGCCACCGTCGTTAGACAGAAAACACAGACTTTGAAGAGAGGAGATGGAAAATTACCATAATAGCAAAAAGTTGGCAAGTGTTTTGGCGATCATCATGCAAGTCAAAGCTCACTAAGACAATAGGAAATTCCATGCAGAGTGATGCATTCACGATCCGTCCCATAAAATAGCAACATTTAAAACAAAAAGTCGTAAGGATTCAAGACAGATTAAGATGTACGGCGAATAATAATTCACAAGACTTTTTTTCGTTGCCACATTTCCTCATTTCACTCTGTCTTTACTTCAACTACACAACCAACTCCCCCCGTAAATATGTGCTAAATTTGTTAACATAAAAAAAGACTGCAATATATATATATATCTGTATATATAGAAAAAAAAGTAGTCGCACAGACCTGATCCGTACGCATATAAAATAAACACCCCGTTTGACGAACCTCCCCAAATCATCACTGTTTTATTCCTCTTTGAAATAACTTCCATTCTGCTTCAAATAAAACTTTATTATTCTCGAGTCGCGTAAAAGTGCATATTTTACAAGTTAAATAATTGATAGTAATAATTAAAAGCAGATATGAGCATTGAGCCGACTTTCATAGGATATATTGAAACAACACAGGATACGCTTCTCTTGTTCGAAGCATGTCGAAGAGGCAATCTCGTAAAGATAAGTAGACGTCTTCAAGAAAAAGAACGCAAGATAATAACTTCGGGAAGTGTGTTCGTTTTTGATGAACGCGAATCTGGAATAAAACGTTGGACCGACGGGTTGCTGTGGAGCCCTTCACGAATCCTTGGAAACTTTCTTATTTATCGTGAGCTGGATAAACGTACACCGACAGGAAAGAAAGAAACCACACCTGTAGAACGACAGCGAAGTAATAGCACAGATACGGAATTTCAGATAGAAAAAAATAAGGAACGCGCTTTAGTTGGTAGTTTAACTAACACATATCGTTTCAAGAAGGGAGGTTTAATCAAAAAAACAATGTCTATAATGGTGAATGGAGTAAATCATCACATGATCAGCTATTACACTAAAGAAGACGTACTTGCCTGTAAACTTAAGATCCCTTCCACGATCCCAGATCTGGCAATTCTTGAAATCGCACCCGAATTTTTATTAAAACAAAACTTTAGGATACCGCCAGTAATCGAGTCGAATTACGAACAAGGTGAACTAAATTCGAAAAGTACGGTGCTTACAAATTATCATTTGACAATTATTTTTGTTAAATGGTGATAAACTGATCGAATAATCTTTGTTTAAAAATAAAAAAAAAAATTAGGTGTAATTTCTTACGAGAAACAATCACCTGTTATCACCGCTTCACAGCACACGATTGTCACAACAAAGCTGAATGAAAACACGTCTCATTTAAAGACTAAAATTGAAAATTCGAATTCTTCTGGAGTCAGCATCTATTATTCTGGTTCATTAGTTCACAACTACCCAAATACATACGATTCACATGGTCATACCGTTACGGCTTCGAATGTATATGATGGCTCGCACACGCTACCGATGCCTTCAGTACGTGAATTCATGAATCGACAATCACCATATGAATTTCCACCAATTATATCACTTGGTAATAATACAACACCAAGGCTGTTGTCACCATTAATGCCTAACGTTAGTTCGCAAATAGAATATAATAATTATCATCAAACACAAAATAATTCGAACGGACAAAACAGTTCTTGGTCTGAATATCAATATCCTTCGTATTCATCGAACGCGCCACATCCACATAACTCAGGAAATAGCCTTCCATCCATGAGTCATCAATCTCAATCTAGTAGTCATCATGCAGAAGCGGGTAGTGACATGTTTTATACGGCTACTGCAACCCACAACATTAACACGTTTAATGATCAAGCTCCCTTCCTACCCGATTTGTACAGTTCTGCCCGCTCCTCTACTGTTAATGCCGCGTCACATTCTCAATCAAATCAGCATGATCAAGCAACATCTCCATCTCCCACACTTCCTGCAATTTCTTCTCCTGCTAGCACTGCGAGCACTTCCAATAGTAATGGTTCAAGTAATGCTCCTTTAACGCCTCTTAACTCTCCTGGCAATACTACCACGATCGTCGACTCTGGCTTTAGTTCTAATTATTCTTCGTACTATCCATCGTTCATAAAGAGCGATGTATATCCATCAGTTTCGATGCCATCCAATTCTTTCATGTATGGCCATTACTGAAGATGCAATTGAGAAAATATTTTCATCCACAAACTAATCTTAAAAATATCTATAAATTAGTGTGGGTTATAAAAAATAATAATCCATTTGGAATATGGTTAGTATTAGAATAAGAACACATATAAGCATTTGGATGTTTCTGTATAATTGTTATTTTAGCATTTGTTGCCGTATTTTAAAAAATGTTGGTTTTATTATAGTTTATTTCCATAAAAAAAAAAAAAACTCTTTTTATCAATTGCTTGTAATTTTTCTTTGTATAGCTTTTGTAAAGTTTCACCTTTAAATCCTAAAAATTTTCTTAATAATAAATGGATCTAATATTTTCTAATCACTCAATTGACAGGCTGATAATGTGGTTATTTAACTTAGAGTTATGGTCTATATATGGTTGTTAATTTAACTGTCATGTGGAATGTCATGTGATACGATTTTTCTGCCTCAGTGAGACGATTTAGCACACGTTATCGGACTCAGTCGATCTGATTATGAATGGCAAATCGAAATTAATGGTCTGAAGTATGGCTTAGCGGCACTCTCTTAATATCCATATATATGTTAACATATACTGTATATATACTGTATATATATACACTAGCGATTTAGTGGTTAGGCACAACGCAGAGCTTTTTTTTGAATAAAGCCGGTGGCCAGGTTTGTTTTAGGATTTTGATTTTATGAAATCCAAGAAATTAATATATAGTAATTAGAATATATATACTGTATTTATAGTCTGATAATTATAAAACAGATATAACTATAGTATTGTTATAGGACAAGTTTTCTTATTTTTCTATTATATTATTATTAGTATATTATATATATATACAGTCAGACCCCCCTAAATGCTACCCCCCTAAGTGCACGTCCTATGAAACACCTCCCTAAATGCACGTCTTCTCT